CTCAAATACTTAAAACTCTGAACTTGAATTGGCAGGGTGGCTTAATAGATAAATACATTTGCTGTCCTTTAAGTGTTAAAGGATGCATTTATAATGCATATCCATGGACCACAAACCCAATCATGTACAAGAATGTGCACACACAAGAGTCTGTATGAATGTAATTAGTATTTTTTTTTCTGGGAAGTACAATGTTAAGAACTACCACATCTTATTTTATAGATATCAGAATTCTTTGAAAGAAAATAAAAGTAAAATATATCAAATGGCTAAGTCACATAAAGTGATTAACTTAAATCTTCAAAGCATAATTACATAAGTCTCTCCTGTATTGTATATGTAAAGACCTATCTATATGCATCAACATCATATCATGACTATTCTTACTACAAATGTACCACATATAAATAAGAACCATCTAATGGCACATAAGGAATAACAATAAGAATAAGCATGATCTAGATTTCAAACTTTTACCCAGCATTTGAAGAAAAATATAAAAAGAGATAATAATAAAGCAATCCAATGTCACCTAAAAAAAAAATCTGAGTTCTCATGTGATTTTGGAAACTCCTGAGGTATTATGATGGGCTTATATCATGCTTCCTAAGCATACATGAGGCCCTATATTCAACTATCGGTACCACATTCACCAATACATAAAAAAGAAATTACAAATTGTTATGAGGCTTTTGGGTGCTGTGGATTGATCCAAGTAGGCCCTATATTTTAAAACTATATAGTAAAAAGTCACAGTCCTTTCAGGAAGAAAAGCAGTGTCATAAAGCCCAACAAACTTCTCTATTTTCTCAAAAGCTGGTAATAAACTGACATAAAATCACATTTTAAGTAAGCTACAGACAAATCTTGTTTTTCACCTAGCCCCTATCTTTACCTCCTGATAAAGCTATGATAATCAGAAAATAAAATTTAATACTAAGAAAAAAGAAATCAGCCATTTCTTATGGTAGACCATATCCACCACAGCTACCATAAAACAAAATACAAATACTTAGTCTACAAGGAATTGTAGTAACATATTGTACAAAGTCATAATTGGGTTTATTTAAACATTATACGAAGACGCAGTCTGTTAAAAACTAAGTTCAATAAACTCCAGTAGTCTGAATAAAACTTATTAAAAATATATGTGAAATATTACAGAAAAAATACTGTTGTATTTTATACTACCATCATATGATTCAAAGCAACTGTGACTAGTTTCATGAATGCCCATACTGAGTAGACTATGTATTATTTTGTTGATATACATACAAAATCTATTTAATGAATATTGATCTTAAAAACAAAAAAAGGTAAGGTCCCAGGTTCAATCCTAGCACCACAAAAACAAACAAAAACTCACAACAGTGCTTTTCTGTCTCATGACCTCCATGATATAAATATTGCCTCATCACATCCTCCCCACCATGATAAATGGAACCAACTGAAGCTATGAGTTAAAAAACAAACAAAACTACCCTCAAAAAAAAAAGAAAAACACATGTTCCTAGCTACTAAAAGTCAGCACATTTCACGAATCTCCAAATATCTCTATATAGATAGATATTTAAAGATACATGTGTATATATGTGCATAATCTCAAATAAGAGGTTTTTAAATGCTATATTGGTTATCTTTGGGGTTTATCATTTTTATATTGATAGAAAATAAGGCTGGTCATGTTTTAATGAAAGCTATAAATGCAGGCAATTCCCTCAGCAGACACCCTTCTGGCAAGTTGTGATGATATGAATAAGAAATGTCCCCACAGTCTCTAGCAACTGGTTGTTCCCAGTTGGTGGTACTGTTCCAAGGTTTAAAAGTGTGGTCTTGCTGGAGAAAGTACTTCACTAGGCGAGGGTTTGGAAGTTTAATGCCTCCTCCAGCCATTCCCAATAGCTCTCTGCTTCCTGCTGCCATCTTAAGATATGATCTTAGCCAGGGAGCAGTGGTGGTGCACACTTTTAATCCCAGCACTTGGGAGGCAGAGACAGGCGGATCTCTGTGAGTTCAAGTCTAGCCTGGTGAACAGAAGCAAGTTTCAGGACAGCCAAGGCTGTTACAGAGAAACCCAGTCTCGAAGGTGGTGGGTGGGGGGCAGGGGGAGGAGTGAGATCTCAGCTTATTGCTTCAGTTACCACGTCTGCAGGTTGCCATGCTTCCCTGCCATGATGATAACGAACTCTTATCTCTCTGAAACCATAAACCCTTCCTTCTTAATAGAAGGAAGGAACTGTATCTCATTCATTTTTGTACCTCTGACACAGTCTCAGGCTCACAGCATACATTCATTTCGATGAGCTAGCAATCTCTGTTCATTCACTCAGCAAGCATCTGCTTGGTATCATACAATGTGTCAGTGATAACATTCATTGAAACAGGTTATTCTCTCTCTGTAGACTTAAAATCCAGTGTAGGGAGGTACAAATAAACAGACAAATATCATTAAGTTTGTAATAGGTGCTATAAGGAAAATGAATAGAATATAAAAATAAATTAGAATAGTAAACAAGTCTCTCAAACCTTTAGAGGACATATTCAAAACTATTAGTGACAAGATAAATAAATATTGTAAAGCTTGAGAAGCTATTTTCTAAACAAATATAAAGGCAGCTAATTTCTGTAGTTTTCCAATTTTTTGTTTTTGCAATTTTCTAAATAACTCCTGTTGTTTTCTAGCATCGCCAATCTAAACATCAAGTTGCTGAATATTCTTTATTTTATGTATGGTCTTCCAAAACTAATATTTTTACAAACACATTACTTTTAAAGCATTATCTTCTCTACATAATTAAAACAATCAGAGAGAGGTGACTAATATTTGGACAGGGGTTGTCACTGTCATTGTACTTTGATTGTCCTGATCTTTTGTTGTTGCTGTTGTCATCACTGCAGACAGTGCTGCTATGCAGTCAAGGCTCAAGACAAATCTTCACACCTTAAGTTCCCAAACACTTGGAGTGCTAGGATTTGAGGTGTGCACCCCCATGCCAGGCTAGTGTTAGTGCTTAAAGCACAATTTTCTCAAATTAGTAAAATATACTTTTATACTTAAATTCTGTGTTGGCAATAGATACATACATATTAAAAAAAACCAGATGCAGGGGCTGGAGAGATGGCTCAGTGGTTAAGAACACTGACTGTTCTTCCAAAGGTCCTGAGTTCAATTCCCAGGACCCACACGATGGCTCACAACCATTTGTAATCTGGTGCCCTCTTCTGGCCTGCAGGCATACATGTAGATAGAAAACTGTATACATAATAAACAAAGTCTAAAAAAATCAGATGCATTGTGGACACCAACATAAATATTAGAAGAGGGACAGGATTAGAAGAGAAGGTGGTATCTTGGGAAACTTATTACACTCTAAACTAGTTCTCAGAAAATTGGATGCAGGAAGCGTAAATCAATTTTTTAAAAGAAATTATAAACTGGTATTTTTAATAACTTTCAATATAAAACATATTACCAGTTGGACAGTAGTGCTGCACACCTTTAATTTCAGCACTTGTGAGGCAAAGGCAGGTGGATCTCTGAGTTCGAGGTGAGCCTGCTCTACAGAGTGAGTTCCAGGACAGCCAAGACTATACACAGAGAAACCCTGTCTCGAAAAACCGAAAGAAAAAGACATTACTATCCTGTTTTTAACTTAAGAAATTGTCAGCTTTAAAATGTTATTTTATAACATTTTATACCTAATTTTATACATTTTGTAAAGATGCTATTTACTTTTTTTTTCAAAGTTCTAAGAATATTTTACCCAACTACAAGAGATATTTTCTACAGAAGCAACTGAAGTGTTGGGGAGTTAATAACTTTCGCGAAATCACTAAGTTAGTAATTAATAGGGAAAAGAGTCAAATTGTGTCTTCTGATTCCATACATACAGCCAATCCTCCATTCCATGCAGTCTCTAAGAGACCACAGCGTCTCAGAAATATGGAAATACCTAGGTCATTTTCTCCAACTCAGTTTTTACACCTGCCAAACTAAAATCAACAATATCAACTTGAAAATTTGTACAGTTTTTAGATCTCCCATTAACTAATAGGCTCCCAGCTTAATAAACCAGTAATAACAAATCTTCATTATAGAAGGCCAAGGCCCAACTCAATACTTTTCAGTAGTCTGTGAAAACAGAATCAAAGCCAGCACCTTTCTATCTAGAGTTCTTCTAGTTTCAGCAAAAATTAAGGCCTTTCTAACATCTAACATTCAAATTTTACTTCATACTTCAAAACTTGTGTAAAGCATGCTAACACCAACTTAAAAGACAAAGGTTAAGCAATAATGAAAAAAAACATGTACCATGAAGCAGTATCCCAAGTCATCTAAAGGATGAAATTATATATATTTAGTTGATAATATATTTTCCTTTAATTTATGCTAAATTATTAAAAAGAAATTTTAACCCCATTGCCATCTTTGTTCATTTCTTATGAGCTATTCACTGCAATTATGGCAGTCACTGAACCATGAAATTAAACACAAAACCTGTGTACACATACAAAAAAACATGATGAAGGAAATGGAGGCGATAGGCTATTGGGTGGGAGTGCGGACTATAAACACCAGAAACTGCAATTCATCAGACAGGAAGTCCTGAAATCACATGACAGGCAGGAAAATGAAATTAAAAATAAATGAAAAAGGATCAAAATAGAAAGGCCCAAGAGCTCAGACTGGGAGAAAAAGAAAGGTCTTTAGATACATTTGTTTTTTTAAACAATTTTTGAAATAAATGTTATTTAAATATTGGTATATCTAAATAAATAATCTGCTGACAGTTGAGGAACTACTTTCATTTTGGAGTTATGCTTTTCTAATAATCACTCAATAATCATATTTATAATACCAAACATTAAAGAAAATAATTTTCTCCTAAAGTATAGAATCAAGTATTTATGGTAACCACTGTTTTTTCTCCCCACAAAAGAAAACCTCAGTATTTTATACTCACAACTATGATATACCACCAGACCTCAATTGCTCTTACCCATCAACGTTGCTAAAAGACACAAGGAATACATTTCTTTGTCAGCTTGCTCCTGAAGTTCCTTGGACAACAGTCTGCCAGTAGCAGCAATCTCTTCTTGTTTCACAGTGTGGGCTGAGTGTGCTGCAGCCGGCTGACCACCTTCGGCTTTGCCTTTTAAGATCTCTATTGTAATTCTGTCACCATGCTGTAAGGGAACTGGCTCCTTTTCCATGCCTGCCTGGGGTGGCAGTAACTCTTTAGGGGGAAAGCCATATCGAATACACTGTAAATACGGAGGAATGTTGAACTCTCTGGCTATACTTTCCTGAAGTTCAAAAAAGGTTGTTGAAGATTTAAGGGTAACCATGGACTGTCGTCCATCATTGGTTGTTATTCGAATCTTCTTCTCCTTAGAAGTTGTAGGTGAGTAGGGAGCCTTGGTGGGGGTGGCAGGTGCAGATGATGGGCCATCACGAACAGTGCTTGGGGAAACAGTTCTGGGCTGCCCCTTTTGCTCTTGTTTTAATTTATCTGTTTTCCGTTTCTGCATTGCAGAAGCTTGTTCTGTGATGTTCTGTTGAATAGTTCTTTCAGTTTTACTCATGTTTAACTCTTCCTTGTGCAAAGTTTTTGCTTTCTGTCCAGTAAGAATAATCTTAGTTGGTAGCTGAGACTCCAATTCTTGTCCTTGCACATCTCCAACTCTCTGAGCATGAGCACCGTCTATATTTACAGGAGTGTAATCGTCAGGATTTTTTTTTGCAGTCTGATGCAATATGGTGTGGACAACTTTCTGAACTAGGATCTCACTTCCAAATTCACCTGGAAAGTGCTTGGTAACAAGCTTCATTGCAACATCATATACATTACTATTCAAAGCTGGATCACTTTCATACTGGAACCAATAAACGGTTTCTCTGACCACTCTTCCTCCCCACTCCAAAGTGATGGGAAAAGCCTCTGGGAGGTTGTCATACTCTTTACCTTCCCAGAAGTGTTTGAATCCACAACCACATTTGCCACCAGCAGACCTGGAATTAGTTCTGTCTCCATCCAAATACACAATAGAGCCATCTCCTCTGACTCTTCGCACAGATGAGCCATGGCACCAATTACAAGCTGTTAGATTACTCAATCCATAGTCTGGTATCAGAACATCTTTCACTGGGTCATATGAACAAATCAAATTGTTTAAGGGAAAGCTGTAATTTTTGTCAGGCCTCAGCTGTCCGTGAGTACTTTTTGCCAGGTTGTACAGTTTCCCTCCTGGAGCCAACCACTCAGGAGGAACATGAAGTTCAGAAAGGGCACCACAGAGCAAACACTTGTGTAGGCGATTATCCATCACTGCTTTCTTAGCAGCTGCTGTAACTTCCTCAGGCTGAATTCCTATCACCCCAGTCCTTCTGTAGAAATACTGATGTACATCAGCAACCAAACTAGGATGGATGCCATGCTTGTCCATAAAGACCTCTTCCATAGCAGCAACCAGCCGAAGTAAGTACTTATCCTGCAAACTTCTGTCTCCTCCGATAACACAACCACCATCCTCCTCAAGTTTGATGTACTTCTTAATAAGATCCTGAGGCACACCCCATGCTTTAGGCAGCAAATTCATGGGCAGTTTGGGCAAGGCCGCCCCTTTTATGCCTACCAAGGGAATATAATGGTTTCGACCAGAGCTACTCCACGCGATACAGATTGGCTTGTTCAGATGACCATCTCTCCCAGTGCACTTCTCTGCCGGGATGAGCCCAGGTAGAAAGGTGGCTGAATAGTCGCCCGAGCTTCGCATGCCACTGAGCGAGTCCAAGAGGATGATGGGGCGATGTAACACGTTAGCAAGGCCAAATATGTGGATGTTCCTCAGGCCTAAGGGGACACCTTCGGGTGGCACAAACAGAGGGTCACACTCGTTGATGATGTCCTCCCACTCGGCCGCATCAATAAAGTCATGAAACAGGGCCTGATAGCGGGCCAGGTGCTGCTGAAAGTGCTGCTTGAGATTCTCCCTCAGGGCATGCCAGAAGAGCTCCCGGCCCACGAGGGCCCGGGACACCGCGTGCACCAGGCAGTGTCCGTCCCCATCCACATGCACGGGGATGAGGCACTCCTGACTTTTATTGGCCCGTTTGATGTCCTCGAGGGTGTCGTGTAGATACAGGAGGCTCCCGGAGCGGTCCTTGCCGTAGCCCACGGTGTTGACGTGCTCGGGCTCGATGAGGAAGGCACGGTCACCCAGTAAGGCGCAATCGAACAGTTCGCCCTGGTTCATATCCCGGAGAAGCTTGGCCCGGCCTGTTTGTTTGTCCATCCCATAGCGTGCCAATATGGGCGACAGTAATTTGCAGTGGTAGTTGGAGAGGCCCATCACCTTTACCAGTTCCGTGTTCTTCTTGGGCGCCCCCGTCACCCCGAGCAGTGCGTTCCGCAGCAGATTGTGCAGCACCACGTCCGGGTCGGTCACCTCTTCCACTCCCAGCAGCTGGTGCTGCTCGTGCCGCTGCCCGCACTCGGTACACTCGATGCTGGCGGAGCCCGAGGCCGGGAAGAAGAGCCGCGCCTGGCACTTGGGGTCCGGGCAGCTCCCGGAAAGGATCCTCCGGTCCCTTCGTTTCGAAAGGCCCCCCGGAGTAGCCGCCGCCGCCAGCGACGACGAAGTCTGCGGAGCCTCGGGGGGAGGAGGCGGCGGCGGCAGCGGAGGCGGCGGCGGCGGCTGAGACATCGCTCTCGGCTCTCGTTCGGCGTCCCAAGCGACCCTCAAAAGCACATAGCCAGCCCTCCGCCGGCCCTCCGCGGTTTAGTCCAGGCCCAGGGCAAATGGCTTTCCCTTCCCTACCAGTACCTCCTCCTCCTAGGCGAAGGCGGAAGCGCCGGACGTTGTTTCTCTTCTCACTTCTCCACTGCCTTAGCCGTTGCCCCGAACGTAACGGCCACCACCCCACCCCGCACTCACACTCACTCACTCTCGCTCTCTCCCTCAGACACAGACATACACGCCCTCATTGAGACTGCGCAGGCGTCGCTTCCGCTCCGCCCTCTGGGAACGAGAGTCTTCCGGCTCCTCTCTCGCGAAGGAGTGCCAGGCGCTTCCGTCCAGAAGGAACTTCAGGTACCATGATGCAAAGCTACAGGGCGCACGAGGGGAGGAGGAAGAGGTGAGCATCGGAAGGCGGGGACAAAAAGGAAAAGGATGACTCGCGGGGCTTGTCGGTAGTTGTATTTTTTTACTGAGTCTCTTTTGTAGTTTATTTTTTCTCCTCTGGCCCAGGCGGAAGAGTCAGACCACATTTCCAAGGATGCTGTGTGTGGTGTCCCGCCGCATTTCCCCCTTGGGCAGAAAGGAGTTTGCTTGGTGAAAACAGGAGTAAAAAAAGAATTGTGTGGTAGAGGGTCTGACGTTCACGACCGATACAAGGGTTGGGGAGTAAAAAGGTTGTAAGGGGTTGGGGGGTGGTGGGTAGGGAATCCCAGTGATTTGCCAGGCTAGAAAGTAGAATGAAGGATTTAATCCTAGAAAAAGGTCCTGGCTGGTGATAGGAAAATCAGAGTTTTAGAATTACTGGTTCGCAACTTGTAAGAACACTTTTTTAGAAAGCATCTTGTTATTATATTTGTCTTTTTTGGCTTATTTTTAAGTATTGAAGGAATGGCTTGTCATGGAATGTTTAGAAAACAAGTCTAAAAGAAAGGTAAAGTTGTCTCTTAGCAGTTAGAGATCACCAGCACTAAGGTTTTCTTGCGTATATAGTATATACTTTTATTTTTTGAGACAGGGACTCAATAGCCCAGGCAGACCCAAACTCCATAGTGGAGGATGACTTTGAACTCCAAATGCTGAGGTGTAGGTGCACACCGTACACCTAGGTTATGCAGTGCTAAGGGTTGAACCTAGGACTTCATGCATGATAGGCAAAGGCTCTACCAATTGAGATATAACCCCAGCCCACATAATATGTAGGGTTTTAAAAAATTATTTCTTTTTTTTAGATTATAATATAATTACATTACTCCTTCCAAACCCTCACATATGCCCAGCCTTGCTCTCTTTCAAATTTATGGTCTCCATTGATGCATCTTTTAAACTGTATGATATATGTATATCTATGTGTGTGTATGTATGATACTGTTCTTGGTGTTAAATAAATATATAATTATTTTCTCTGTTATTCAGGATAACTTTTTTTCTCTACATTTATTTCTGCTCACTTGTTTTCTTGAAGTTACCTGATTTTTTTTAATTAAAAATAATATAAAAAATCATGGCTTCTTTTTTCATTAATTACTGTTACATACATATAATTCAACTTCAAGTCTGGCAAAACAACATATGCCATTAATTCTAGCACTTGGGAGGCAGAGGCAGACAGATCTCGGGAGCTGTACACCAGTCTTTGTGAATGCCAAGTCAGTTGTGACTACACAGTGAGAGCCCGTCTTGGAAAGGAAAGATTCCTCTTCAGCCATGTGTTGCATCTGCGATCCCAGCACCCACATGGTGGTGGTAAGGTCCGTCTGGGCTAGAGGGTCAAGAATGACAGCCTGTTACCATGTAGTGAGACTATCTTAGCAAAAGAAAACAACAAACCAACAACCTCACCTGTGCCTGGGGCACAGGCCTGTAATTGCAGCTATGAGGCAGAGACAGGAGAATGGAAATCTCAAGGGTCTGTCTGGACTATAGAATGAATAATTCCAGACCAGCCTAGGCACATGTACCTGTCTCAAAACAAAAAGTAAAACGAAGGCTGGGGTCACAACTCAGCTGTACAGTTTGCTTCTAGCATTCATGGGACCCTAGGTTCAATTTTCAGCATTACAAATTTAACAGAAAGATACAGCTTTGGAACAACTTCTATTACATTTATTTATGCATGCATGTGTGCAACATACATGGGAGTCAGAAAATAACTTATGGAGTCTGCTCTCGTCTTCCACCATGGAGATCTCAGGGATGAAACTCAACCCTGTCATTGAGTGCCTTTGCCCACAGCACAGTCTGTCGTTAGCCACATTCGGGGTGACTTCTGCCGCGGTCCAGACATGATGGGTTTGGATTCGTACGTTCCAAGGTAGGCATGTGGATTAGAAACGTTAGGTAGGAGGAAGAGATACGAATGAAACACAGAGACATAGAATAGTACTGGGAGGGCAGCTCGGTGAATACTGAACAGTGTCCTTTAAATGGTACAATTCGTTCTTCTTTTGTCTTTATCTAAAATCATACAGCAAAATGTACTTCACACATTTTTGTATCTATACTTGCATAAAAATATTTTAATGGAAGAAAGCAAAGGTATAAGCATAAATACACTTAACCCTGTGGGTTACTGATGTAAATCCTTTTATATTATTTCAATATGTGAATATATCATAATGATGACATATCAGAAGTTAAGTCCAAGGCAATCTGCAATTTTATTATGTATTATTTTGGCAAGCAGCAAGTTAGTAGAGAATCCGTGTTTGCCTTAATTTACAACTTCAGCACTAAGTCTCAGTAGCTTATGTCAGAGGCTCCAAATGGAGGCTCAATCAGTAAAATTATAATTTTTGAAAAGAACTGCACTTTCCTACTCAAGTATTTTTTTAGGGTGTGCACCATGAGTCATCTGGAGGTTAGTGGGTATCGTGCTGAAGGAAATTCTGTAGTCAAGTCAGACTAAATGAGTGTGGGAGTTTGAATGAGAAATGCCCCTCCCCATTGGTTTGGGTAGTGAAACACTGACTGGGTCCCTAGTTAGTGGTGCAGCCTTACTGAGCAGGTACGTCATTGGGGGAAAGCTTTGAAGGCTTACGCTACCTCATGACACTTCCAATTTGCGCTTTCTCTTTCTCTCTCTCTCTCTCTCTCTCTCTCTCTCTCTCTCTCTCTCTCTCTCTCTCTCTCTCCCTCCTGCTCTGATCTCTCTGTTTTCCCACTCCTACCGCTCTGTCCACATACAGCCACACTGCCCCTTATCATGATGATTTTTATCTCCCAAGACACTAAGTCAAAATAAACTCTTTCTTCCATAGTTGCTTTTTCCCCCTGGCTTTTAGAGACAGGGTTTCTCAGTGTAGCCTTGGCTGTCCTGGAACTCACTCTGTAGATCATGCTGACCTCAAATTCACAAAGATCCGCCTGCCTCTGCCTCCCGAGTGCTGGCATTAAAGATGTGCTCCACTGCCTGCCTAGTTTTGTTTTTCTTTTGTAAACACTGTGCAAAGAATTTGTTGCCATCAAAATTGCTGTGATTTATATCTATTTTTTCTACATTTTCAGTTCTTCAAAAGACACCTTTAAGAAAGCAGAATTTTAGGGTAAAGTTTTCCTAGAGAATTTAAAAGCTTATATTTTGTATTGTTTTATAGAAAGGATGCTTAAATTGGCAGTTCCATCTTAAGAATAAAAGAGCAATCATCTTTATCCTCTTTGGCACAGAAGAGCAATTTATAATACATTTTTGCGACTGGTAGGTTTTTAAAAAACTTCATACTTGAAAGCATATGATTTATGACTCAGTCACCAGTTTCTCTCTTTGCTTTATGTATGTGTATTTATTATATCATTTTAGTTACAGCAAGTTATTCGTAAATGACATTACTGAAAAAATTGGTTATGTTTATAAGTATTAGCAGGTGATAGCCACAAAGGCATAGAGGTTGAACAAATATCCTAGATGTCTGTTTGTACGGATATAATGTAGATTTAATAAATTCTCTTGGAGTGTTAATTTCAATAGTTCGATATTGAAATTTTTAGAATATTACGCAAAGAACAACAAAGAATTAAACAAAAATAAGGATGACTGTGATCGGCAGTTCCTTCCCCAGGTAACTCTGCCTTCACAGGTGTTTTCTTGATTCGGGAGACAGACCAAAGGACGTGCAGAGCAAGCGTGGAGGGCTGGCTGGCAGTGGCAGCAGAGCAGGTACCACATGCGGTGGTTAGAAAGGCTGGGTCTGAGCCCAGCTGTCTGGAGTGAGCCCTGGCTCTGTCATTTGGTGCCCGACTGATCTTGGGCAAACTCGTTTGTCCTGCCTGTGTCTCATTATCCTCACTTATAAAATGAAGGTGTTCACTGTGAGGGCTGCGGTGCACGTTAGTGAGGTCCTGACAGTGTGCTTTGAGCAGAGTCTGTGGTGTGGGGAGGCTCCACCCTCACGTGGCCGTTGTTGTTGTTGTTGTTGTTGTTGTTGTTGTTGTTGTTAGATGTGTGTGCAGAGGGGGAGAAGGAAAACACGTGTGAGTACTCACTGCGCATCACGGACCTTCATGGTTTCCCCATCGATCGTCACGATCTTCACGAGTTAGGGCTTTGTTTGTTTGTTATTTGTATTTGTGTATGTTGTTGTTTTGTTTGAATTGGTTTGATTTAAGGTTTTTGATTTTTTGTTTGATTTGGTTTAGGTTTTCAAGGCAGGGTCCCCAGTGTTGCTGGGGTGATAGACTTTTATTATTTCCTTTTGTTTTGTTTTGTTTGATTTTGTTTTTCAAGACAGGGTTTCTCTGTGTATCTCTGCCTGTGAACTCGCTCTGCAGACCAGGCTGGCCTCGAACTCACAGAGATGTACCTGCCTCTGCCTCCATGAGTGTTGGGATTGAAGATGTGTGCCACCACCACCTGGTTTATTATTTCCCTTTTATATGGCCAAGGAAACTACAACCAGGGAGGTTACATATTGAGGAGAAGAGCGACTCAATAGGTTAGTTTCTAGATCAGGTCAAATACTAAAGGTCACCTGGCCAGGAGACAGCAAAATACCAATCAGACAGGAAACAGCTGAGCATGGTAGCACATACCTATAATTCTGGCACCTGAGAGGCTGCAGCAGGAGGATCCTGAGTTCAAGGCCAAACTAGGCTATATAGTTTGAACCCTGTACCAAAAGCTAACAATAAAAAAAGTCTGGACAGAGGTGCTTGGATGCAGGCCTATAAAGTCACATGCTCTCTTGATCCACCTTATGGTATTTATGATGCAGGAAAAT